GTGTCTCAGACTGTATCAACAGGAAAATAATCAGAAATAGCTAGAAAGGCTGCTTAGCATCCCAGTCACGGCAGGAAGGGCCTTTTAAGAAAGCCAGAGATGAAAGAAGAGTTGCAAGACTTGGGGATTCTATTCCACTCAAAGCCATGAACTTGAGCATACGGCCACATGGCTGGATGTCTTTGTTCAAAAGATAAGCAAGAATGATAAGCAAGTCCAGTTTCCTTATTCTCATTTTTTTCCTGTCATTTCCAGGCTGCTCATAAACCATCACAAATCCTGAACAGCAAGGCCTTTTCACACCATCTCACTTGATGTACACAAACCAGATGGAATTCCACCTACAGAAAATAGAACAAATGAGCATATTGGTGTATTATTGGCATTTATATAGCACCACAGGTGTGGGATTGGCACATAATAGACAGCAAAGTGACAAGGGCTTTTGGGGATTCATGCCTAAATTAGACCTCACATGATGGTAACATCAGTGGAGGAAGAAGGTAAGAATAGTAACAATGAGACAGTAGAAAATATATTTCTGTATCTTTCTATATCTTCACAATATCAGCTATACAGAGACTGAATCAGGCACGTCGTGTTTGATACAGCAGTAACCAAGTGGCTTGTACAATTTAAGACAAAGTTCTAATACTATTAGTTGTTACCTGTGGCATGTTCTTAGACTCCATGGTTTGGCCACAGGCAGAGTACATTATGTTTCATTTAAATGCAAGCATACCATATTATGAATCTATGCCTCCAATAATCTTGGTGTGCTGTGGAGGCCAGTTCAAGAAGTGGCATTACTACCTAACATTTTTTGCTGGCTCTCCTGGATCATATCTATTATATATAGCATTGAAATGGCTTACTGATATGCTGCAAGAGTATACATTGGCTATTTTATCTACACACTTGGTAGAAAGATGAGAAGAATGACATTTAAAGGCTAAATAAATTCCACTCATGTAACAGAATTTATAGCTCCTGCTATCTTCCCTTCTTGAAGGGGGAACAGGGTGCAGAAACAGATGATTCTCAAAGAGCATGCAGAGGCAGTGGCTTGACCTGTTTTTCAAGAGAAGGCAAAGGGAATGATGCCTCCTGTACCCACTTTCATTTTCCTCGCTGCCTATGATGAAAGATGGGGTTCTCTTTAGTATTTTTTGCTGCTCATTTTCTTATTCCCTTCATCCCTATCATTTTCTATTTCTTTAATTCCCTTACTTTCTCTTCCTTGCTTATACTACCAATTCTAAAGTATGCAGTGTAAGAAATGCAGTCTGTGTCCTGCACATTTGCTACTTCCTGATACATGCTCTTAGTAGCCCACAAGAGACATTACCAAATCACAAAGCCAAAGTTGTACTGGCAGGTCCTGACTATGCTAAAACATCTAAGAATAACTGAAGCCAGAGAAAAATGAGCCTGACATGATGAGAGCTGAAGTACAGCATGCCTGGAATGGAAAATCACATCTGTGAGGAGGTAGAAGCTGCTGCTCCGAACAGAAACGCATATATCTCACTGAGCATCTTATTTAGCAGTCAAGGAATGCTCAACTGCAATTTCAAGTCAACAGATCCCTTCTGACTCTGCCAGTTTCACAGTCATCCCAGAGTTTTCTCTCTCATGGCCTCTGCAATCTGTCTGACTGCTAGATTAAAAGGGCAGCCTTGAGCTGGAGACTGCTATCTTGAACTTCAGAAGTCCCTTATCATATTCCAGATAAAGTTTACATTACTGGCAGCTAAGTTCAGCTTGCAGACTTTGACCCTTTCTTCTACAAGAGGAATAAACCAAGTGAGGTAGAAAGAGTAGAGAACTGCACATTAAGCATAAACCAAAAGCAACTTAATGGTGTCTACAAAAAGTCTTTCAAGAAATAACATGAAGAACAGTAGGCATCAACTGAAGCAAAAGCTTTTCCTTCATTACAGAATGAAGCACTGGTACACGTTGCACAGACTGGTCATGCAGTCTCTGTCCTTGGAGTTCTTTAAGACCAGACTAGATGAAGCCCTGTGCAACCTGATCTGCCCTCAGAGCTGGTCCTGCTTTGAACAGCAATTTGGGCTACAGAGCTCTGATGTATCTTTCAGCCTGAATTACCCTACAATCCTCTGATTGAATGATGTTGCTCTATGCACTGCAGTCCCCTACCCTCAGGACCTGCTGTGGGTCACATGAAAGAATGACACACACTCTGAGTGCAGCTGTTTAGAGTTGGCTACTCTGCTCCACCACTCTACTGTCTGTGATCCAGCTGCAAATTTCAAACAGCTTACATATAGAGAGACAAGCACAGGTCCCATCTCAAAGATCTTGACTACCAGGGACTGCTCTAACACTGACATCAAGGATTAATTTTAATACAAGTACAGGTTTTACTTTTCCAACACATTCATTTCATTTGATGTACAGTGCACAGTATGGTCATATGGAGTTCTTTGGAAAATCTTGACAGCATTCGGTTTAATGACATATGAGATGTACTTTCTCTAAAAAAAATACTTTTTGTTTCTCTTAATAATGCCAGAGGTTCCTCCCTCTGCTTACTTAACACTTTTAAAACTCCTGACTTCTATTCAAGTCAGCTGCTTCTGTACTTAAATCAATGACATAATGGATTTGTTTGCTGTAACCATCAAAAACAAATGAGTGTTTGCAAGGACCATGCAAGGAGCTGTCTGGAAGTACAATGTTATTTCTTCCAAGTAGTCATTACAACATATTTAGAGAACAAAAGCTCTGAAGGTTGGTTACAGTAAACAATTCCCCTATTGGTCATCTGTAGCTGAAAACATCTGTAGTTACATGAACAACTTGCTCATGTTAGACAACCAGTATACTAACTGTAAATTCAACACATTCAGTCAATCTTCTTGTTTTATTCCTATTCACAACCAGTTTAAAAAAATTAACTCAATAGTCCTTCTTGGCCAATTATCATGGAATAATATCAAAGCTTAAGAGTCAAAATGGTTAATCTGGTCAACAGCAGTTGGTAGCATTGAAAGTTCGACTCACTGTAGAAGTCCAACAAAAAAGACTTATGCTTTTTTGATTAGATGTAAGGAAGGAATCCTTTAGGATGAGGCACTGGAAAAGGTTGCCCAGAGAAGCTATGGATGCCCCATCCCTGGAAGGCCAAGCTGAAGGGAGCCATGAGCAGCTTGATCTAGTGAAAAGTATCCCTGCCCACAACAGTGGGGTTGGACTAGATGACCTTCAGGGCTCCATTTCAACCTGAAGCCAATTTACACACCAACCACTCCCTGATTCCACACTCAGGGCTTCAGTTAGATAACAGCTATACACCTGAGCTACACAGACAGATCCAACTGAGTACAGATGCTTAAAAACTATCTGTTCCTCTATCTGGCTTATCACAGTGTGTCTTAGGAGACCTGCTCATAAGATATATCTCCTTGTGCACGTGGTTGGTTCAGGCTGTTTTCTGAGCTCAAATAAGCACTGAACTGGAAATATTTATCAGTAAATTTACAAAGTTCTCAAGAACATATTAACAGACAGCGCCCAGAATGCTTATTTATTGTTTATTTAACCACTGCTTTGCCACTAGGCTGATAGGAACTGAATGCTTCATTTGCTGGCATGTGCCAGTTGGCTTGACTTCATTAATAAATATCATGTGACCCGTGCTTCTTATTGTCCTCCTAGTAAATGAGTAATGTGAAATGCCATTTCTCAGTGCACACAAAACTGTGCTTTCATTTTTTGCTCATTCATTAAAACTCATATCCAGAACTGAATAGAATAAAACGAGAAGAGAGGAGAGGAGAGGTAAGGAGAGGAGAGTTCAATTAGAAGAGATCTTCAAACACAAAATCCAGTAGGTTAACTTAAATGATGACCTAAACTAACCTCACTAATTTTGCAAGAATTGGACCATAGAGCATCATGATTCATTGCTTCATTGACAAAAGAAGCAGCAGAGCAGACAGCAATGATAAAACAAAGACAGCTCTGCCTCCCATCCACACAACTTGATTTTGGAGAACATGTCTTCATGCTCTTATTCCAACTTTAATCAATTCCATAAAAATGTGTAAATAACTGGATAATAATTGTACTTGCAAGAGCAATTCCCACTACCTGATAAAATGGATTATTTTGAGAAAGACTAGCTGCCAAGTAAGATGATCTAACAAGAAAGGGTTTTAATGTGAAAAGAAGAATTTTTAAGAATAAATTAATTGTTATGGAAAATAAAAAATCTTTCACTACACTGAAATCCACCAGATGACAGATGAATCTTCTAAGAAATTGTGGAGGACTCAGATGAAATAACAAATCAAATTTCAGATAAATATTATTTAATTCCTGCAGTGGCAGACTGTCAGACGAATTGACCTGGTTTTCTGAGTCTTCTCCACCTGATTTCAGTTGTCCCTTCTAGCAGCTTGGTGTGAGAGTAAGCTGCATGCCAAAATCAGAAATACAGGTTCTATGGCAGTTTTAATAATTTAGTAAACTATCACATGAAGGACATGATGAATTTTCTTTTCTTCTAATTGTCTTAATATTAAGAATGCTGTGGTATGGCCAAGATACAACATACATATGTTTAGGATGAAAGTATAAAACCAGGTCTTCATCTTGAAAGATATGTTTTGTGAGATCATTATCTTTCTGATATGATATATCACCTTATTTTCTCTCCAGTGACTAGAAAGCTTCTTGCTTAAATCTATCTGCAAACAGCTGAAAGACTTAGCATGTGAAAGAAAAAGCACATCATGGATGAGTATTTTGGGCTGGCAGCTCAAAATTTGTTATGATCGTAATACATTCCTCACATGGTATGTGACAGTTTTTCCACCTTTCTTTGTGAATCTTCATGTAAAAGGAAAGCAAAAAGACAATCACAGAGTACAAATATGCAACTCAAAGGTAAAAAATATAAAGATAAAAAATTAAGTAAGCAGAATTGAAAGCTCTGAAAATAAATCCAGTGGTTAGAGATTCTTAAAAAGAGAAGCAGAGAAAATACATCTTTTTTAATGTAGACTCTCACTTCAGAATTTATATAATGCATCCATTATCCAGAATTTATATTATACATCATTACCTTGTTAACATTGCTAAATGCATTCCACTTGGTTATAATAATTGCAAAGAACAAGACTGTTTGGGTTTTGTGACACTTCTAGTAATTGTCTTAGTGTTTTCAAATGTTCTGGTTTTGAGGCTTCAGCACACTGTTATACATAGCCTTCATTGATGATAATGCACATATTTATGCTACTTCTTTCAGTGTTCCTGCTGCTGCCTGTACAGTGAAGGCTGCAATGGAGATCTGCCTCTTAACTTCTTTCCAGGCTTCATCTTGATCAGCTTTGTTTTTAATGTCAAACATGGCATCAAAGATCCCGGGGAATGATTCTCCTGCATACTTGTTATGGCTGCTTGGAGCAAAGATAACATGTCTGTAATTAAGGAAAAAAAATACATTCTGTATTAGGAAAATAAAATATTTTTTTCTGAATAAATCTGGTGTTTCTACATTCTTTGTCAAATTCTTGACACTGGAGGTGAAAATAAATATTGTCATTGTAGCAACAATGTCTACAGTCTATGAAGAAAGAAAATTAAACAAACTACATTACTCCATGCAAATTCAATGAATTTGTAGCTAAGAAGTCTTGAGATAAAATTGACTAAAGCATTTACCTTTCTCTCATTTCAGAAGAAAGGGAAAGATTAAATAAAGAAAAAAAGAGTCAGCATCTTTTCTCACAGATACACACAGTCATGCTCTGAGGTATGAAAGTTGATGTTCTAGCAACAGGCTGTTCTCAAGAGATTTTTAATCAGTAGTTATGAGAGATAGGATTGTAAATCTTACATTCTCCTTCTACAGTTACTTTTTATTGGAAAGATTACTATTTAGAATACACAGTACTAGAAGGATGAAAAAGCTAAGCTTGATTTGGCTATTCTGCCTCTCAAACAAAATTTATTTCTTGAACTGGAAGAAAGAACTACTGAATTCACTGCTGCTAGAGGACTGCCCTCTATAATGTATTTGCTAGCATGCCTGTTCAGCTACGATGAGTCAAATTTTAGATGTTTCCAGTATACCCTATGTCACTTCCAAATCACAGCTTCCTAAAGATTTTTTATCAGAGAATTTGCATTGGGACCAGAGCCAAACTTTTTGATTTGGTTAGAAGCACACTAAGATCAATGGAAATGGATTTTTTTATTTGAATATGCTTACAGCAAGACTCACTCTGTACAGAGTCTCTCAGTGAAGTTTTCCCTAGCACTGTTTCCCTTTCAATCTTATTTTTCCTATTTAATGTACTTTTACTATGTTCAATAAAGTCATTACAATTTCATTTAGAGATCCATAAATTACAAAGAAATTCTCATATAGTATTTCAGGCAGAAAGTGAAAAATAACCCTTTCTTACCTATAAAATGGCCTTCCAGGTAATCCAAGTGGATCTATGAAAGCCCTTTCTAGAAACATGACTTGATCATTTAACGATCTAACAGCAAGCAGGCTAAAAAGAAAACAACAAAAGAATACATCAGCTACAGTTTTTTGCTTACTCTTTCCATGCCATGAGATGTATACAGCTCTGGATATACGAAGGACAGTAGATCCAGGATGTTGAACTTGAACTATAGCTCACAGAAGACCATGACAACTAACCTGCACGAGCAAATTATGCTGTTCTATACTGTGAGACAGTCTGGTGTATAAATCATAGAATCACAGAATGGCCTGGGTTGAAAAGGACCACAATGATCATCCAGTTTCAACCCCCTGCTATGTGCAGGATCGCCAACCACCAGACCAGGCTGCCCACAGCCACATCCACCCTGGCCTTGAATGCCTCCAGGGATGGGGCATCCAAAACCTCCTTGGGCAACCTGTTCCAGTGTGTCACCACCCTCTGAGTGAAAAAATTCCTCCTAATATCTAACCAAAACCTCCCCTGTCTCAGTTTAAAACCATTTCCCCTTGTCCTATCACTATTCACCCTTGTAAACAGCTGTTCCCTCCCCTGTTCATATGCTTCCTTCAAGTATTGGAAGGCCACAATGAGGTCTCTCCAGAGGAGAGAAAAGACCTGAAGGTCTTTTAAAGCTGTTCCACAGACCAAGGCATACTGTCAAAGAAGACAGACTTTCAGGTATTTTCTTTTATGCTTTTATTCCCATATCTCCTTTTTCTTAGGATGCTTAGATAGACCATTCTCTTCCTTTATAGAAGACTCCATTTTCCAAAAAGCCAGTCAGCATCAAATTACTTCAGTAAATCACATTAACATTTATATAAAATCACCTCTGAGAAACAGGAACATTAGAATCATCTTTTGAGTAATCCAAGAATTTTATTTTTCTGATAGCAGACTGAAAATTCCCTGGAGCAGAGACCATCTGTTTCTGTGAGCTTTTAATAGCTCTGGGCATACTACTGATGCTTAACAAATAGAAGAACTGTGAAGGAGAATATGCTGACTATATGTGGGTTTGATAGTTCACATCCAAAGTAACTTACTGTAAAGCTTCAAAAGCACTCACCAAGAAAAAGTGGTAAATTTTCTACCCCTGTAAGCCTGCAGTAATTCTGCATCTGTCAATGAAACTTTTTCAAGCTTACACTGATATAGATGTAAACCGAATCTGGTTGGCCGAATTAATGTTTAGATTTAGGTCAATCATCAGTAAAATGATTTTAGACTGAACTTTCTCATTTGCTACTGTGCTGAAGAATTATCAAAACATGTTATTGAGTCACAAACATTAATGGTAAAGTGTTTTCTTCTATCTTTATTTTGAAACTTCAGCTATGTTTACTGACACATTTTAGTGATTCAGGAAAACAAATACATTGAAATTTACAAATGTGTAAGCTTTTGGTATCCAACAGGAGTTACAAAATAACTAAGGCAGAAGAGATCTGACAGAGTTGGGAGGGAAGTTGAGTTGCAAATGGAGCACAAAACAGAAAATGAATTACATTCTAGCTTAAAAGTCATTTTTTCTGCCTATGCAAATTAACCTTTTTTCAAATAACATTATATAAGCACCATAGAAATATGAAGCCCAGAAAAATGTCTCATATCTGCCATATGTCTTAAATCTAATATTTTACATAAGAAATAACAGTATATTTATCGCTCTTCAAAGTTGCCACTATTAAAAATATGGCTTTTATTCTTAGTATTCCACAAGGGCAAGCCTAGGACTAAGCCTGATTCTTCCCATGAAATGTAACATGTATAAAAGGAAGTATAGTTTTGTATCCAACAGTCTAGTCACAACCATGCGTCATCCAAGTGCTTCTCCTGAGCAGAACTGACATTTATTACCTTGGATACTTTTCAAAGCAAAAATGGCTAGATTTCCAGGCTCTCCAGTGTCTCTCTGATGTCCACTAGTTCAACACTTCCATATTCTGTATCTTAGAACAATCAGATCCTTAAAGACAAGAGCCCGTAAGGACTTCAAATGACCATCAGTCATTTGTCATCACAGTTATTCAGGGGACTAAATGCAAGTGAAGACAATACCCCCTGAGCACAGAGGACTATAAAGATTTGGCTGGAAGAAAAAACAGTTAAACTTACTCGTTGCTATCTATCCTTTGCAGTCTATCATGAAAGCTATCAGCAACTTCTGTAAAATTCTTCACAGCTGAAAAGAGAGCATCTGGAGGGAGCAGAAAGGAAGGAATTGGAAGACTTATAAATTAAAATAAGGCGTCACTACAATTAACAGAGGAATTAAAAGATTATACCTACCAAAGGATACATTGTATACTGCCAGTTCTTCCTCATGATTCCTTGACATATTATAGATGATATGAGCATAGTTGCTCAGAGCTGATGCATAATCTCTACAGTCAAAAGGAAGCAGAATAGAGTTGGCCAATTCAAACACCAACCCTCCCCGTACCTGAGCTACTGTCAGATGATTCTTGAAAGAGGGATCATAGAATCTTTCCACAATTTCATAGGTTTCATACACGCTGTGGTAAACCGGATAGCTGCTATATTTTTCTACATTCTGAAACAAACAAAATCAAATTCATTATTCAAGTCAGCTACAGATACTTTACGTTTGTTTGAAAACCTTGACTGTAGGATTTAAGGCACAGTAAAGTTAGGTGTTCAGGTCACACTACTACTCTGTAGCTGCTGTGGACAATCACATGGGAAGAACTGCTCAGTGATGGAGCCAGCTCTTAGACGTCAGCTTATGATGAAATGGTTACCTGGAGATGCTCTTTCCATTGACCTGGTACTGGATGTAAAGAAGGTAGCCAAGAACAGACACAACTTCTAGTTTTCTAAATTAATGTGAACTTGCCCTTCCTCTCTTTGGATCTTAATAGTTATTTCTGTTTACGTCTTTGGCTATGCTTTTTCACAGAAAAAGACTAAATTTAATAGATTGCTTCTCAAACACTTCTCAGTTGTTTTCATACCATGAACCAGAGTTGACCCTATATTCTTCACAAAACATGAACTACTGCTGAATTCAAAGCTTCATAAGCCATCAAATTCATTTAAAAGACATCATAAGCCACTGAACCCTTCCTGAACCATAAGTAATTTTGAGTACATCCACTTACTCTGAATAAAATTCCTCTTCTTTTGTCTGATTGACACCAAGTTGACAATTCCTGTTTATTAAATATTTGTAGTGTAGTAGCATGTAGAGTTCTAGTTAGGAACTGAGACTCCACTCTGACACAGTAAACAAAAAGCTACCACTGTGAATGGCTCATTTACAGTTATTATTCAGGCAATTGCAAGGGAGATATAACTACTAAGATGCAGACTTACCCAGTTTTTACTGTAACGTGCTCTGCCTGAAGCGATGCCAAGACGTTGAAAAAAGACCTCAAAGTCATTGCCAGACCCCAATTTATTTATTCTTTTAACAAGAAAGAAGAAAATGCCTTGAGTGACAATACTCAAAATACATTTTCTAGTTTGTTTCCAAGTACTGAGATAGCTATTTATTCTCCTGCTACAGTCACTACATAATCTTTCCCTAGCATGTTCTTTCTTTCAATACACCACAAATTCCCTGAAAGCCCTGCACTGTATTCATCTCCTACCAATAACTGTATTATTAGGAGGACAGAGCTAGCGCAGAGAAAACATTAAAGGGGAAAATTTAACTCGCTGCCTTTAATAATTGAGAAGACCCCAATACCTTCTTCCTGCTAAACTTTCATTATTTCCAATCTCTCAACTGAGAGAAAACACAACAGTACTAGCATGGCTTCACATAAGAGAATCAGTTTCTTAGATTCAGTAAGTTCTGAAGGACACTATTACAAAAACCTGCTTGGTGTGCTCCACAGCCACAGAAATTCAGAGGCCTGCCAGGAAACTGGAAGAAACTGCAAGGGAATGCTATTGTGTTATCATCTAGTGCTCCTGTCGCTGGCTTTCACATACTACCTTTATATGTCTGCATCTCTAAACTACACCAACACTTCTTTTAACTCACAGAGCCTCCTGTTGATGCTACATGTCCAAGTTCATATAAGTGCTGTACAATACAGTATCAGTGGCAATCAAACTCTGAAATCTGTATCTGTTGAAAATCACACTGTTTCATTCAAGTGCTCAGTTTTTCAAGTGGGTATTTCTTTAACTACAACTACAAGCTGCAGTAAGTTCTGGCACTGTCTACATTTTCTTTTGTCACTGACCTGGGGACCTCTTTATATTCTGTTGATGGATTTTTTTTATACCAGCTCTCATAAAGAGATTTTCCTTCAAACCCTTCATCAGGACTTGGTATCTAGAAAATATATATTACAAAAAAAGACAAAAGGTACAGTTTTAAATATTACCAGTCAATGAAACTAAAACTGGCCATCACGTAAAGCCTATAGCTTAGGACAATGAATAAATAAAAGTCTTAATCCCTCATCCTTTCAACTTTTCCAGTTCAAACTTTTAAATGCACATTTTTCAGAGGAATATTTTATTTGCTAAAAATAAGTAACTTTAAATGAAAGAAAACACAAAAAAACAGAACATTTCATGTCAATATTTACCTTCTGATACTTTTAATGGGATGTTCAGTCATTTAATTTAAATACTAAAATATTGGAAAAAAAAAAAGAAGCTTCTTGCTTCAATCTGGCAGGAAATTTCAAACAATTCTGTCTTGGTTTAATTTAATTTTTTTTTTCCTTGTTTCAGTTCAAAACAAGGATTTCCAGAGAAGGAATAGTGACTTTAGAAGGACAAAGTGTGCAGCACTGAGTGCTTCCATCATTATTACTGCTACAGAGGTATACGAATATTATCTAGTTCATTCCTATTTTCACACTACTTCCCAGGTTACTGAGCACAATAAACACTGTATATTTTTCAGCTTTCTTTTCACTGACGGGCAGGTGACGTTTCATTGCTCTATTTTTGTTTCAATGTATTTCTAAGAATGACTCAATAGAAATCAAAATAAAATATGCTTGGCTATATAGACATGGAGCTAACTGCGTGTTAACATTTTCTGCCACAGGTTAATTTTGGATGGGGTTCCAGAACCTCCTTCCTGATGAGTGATCTCTTCAGACACCAGCTACCAACAGGGTGTAGTAACATGCATTAATCAGCCTTTGTTGCTGCTTTCCAGCTCAAGGAAGGGTTATGCAACCATGTTTACTGGTATTTAGGTCAACAATTTAATGATGGCTCTGGTGTCCAAAGAGAGGCTCTAATGACCTGATTTTCTGAAGTTCTGAACTGCCACATTTAGCACAAGTTACCATGGGAACTGCAGGTGATCAGCTCTTCCACAGTTCCAGACAGAAATATCTGTAACTGGGCATCTAATTTTAACAGAGTTAAATTGTATTTGTTGTCTTTCAATTGCCAGAAAATGCCTACATTGAGTTACTATACTTCCTTTACTTTGGTAGAAAAGAAAGCAACATGACATCATATTTTATATACTAAGCCCCATCCAGTAAATAAACAGTGAATGTTGTGGCTAAAAATTTAAAGCAATATTACCTCTTTGGTCACACTGTACACCAGTTTGTACATCAGTGGTGTGCAATCCACTCTTAGTGTATAGTTTCCTGAAAAACAGAACAAAAATATTCATATGAAGAAGGAAGTTCAACCGAAGCCTTGTGCCATTATTAGTGAATAAGACATTAGAAAATTACACACACTACAAGCAGCAAGCTGATTTTTCCTGTAGAGGAGCTCTTCTCCTGTGAGCTAGTTAGGATGAATTATAGACCAACTTCTTAAGCAACCATAAGAGCTTTTTTTATGCCCCTATGCTGATTACAAACATTATGAGAGGGGATGTAGACCCTACTGAGTTGCGCAAGAACTGCTGACAGAGGCACAACAATTGTTGCTCACCATGACTCCCCAAATAATGTAGCTGCTATAAGGCATTTCTTTCCTAAAGCAACAGGAATGAAATATTTGGAGGATGCTTTACAATTCTGGGTCACCATTTCCTTCCACATTCACTATTATATTAACCCAACAACATTATCATGTTGAGGCTTTCACAGATTTCTAAGTCAAACTGCCTCCCAGTCATCCATACATACCATCTCTATTTCTATAAAATGCAAGCCAAAACAATATACCTTCAACAGAAGAATCTGCATTGATATAAGCCACTCCTCGTGACTGCAATAGTTTGGCATTTTCCTGAGAAGAAACAGAGAAAGAAAACATGGATAAACTTTTCTCCTCAGAACAATTTTTCCAACCACAGAAGTAACTGGTTTCAAGTAAGTTCATATGATTTACTGCACTGAGTAGATCTACCTTGGGGAGTCTGTAAGGAAAACTGTGTGTATGTAAGACAGACAGAACAACTGAGAGAGGAAGTGCTGCTTTCTTAAACAGATTTCTTAAAGATTTGCCATTGTGAAAACCTGTCTTGTAGCCACATCAGTTTACCTCAGCCCACTCTGTTGATCCTAACAAGCCAAATTCCTCTGCATCCCAGCTTGCAAATATCACTGTTCTCCGTGGCCTCCATCCTGCAATAAGATCATAAAAAGTGTATTATCAAAATAAAAGCAGCTCATGTGATTTCTGAGGTGTTCATCTTTTATCTTGATTTGTGGAAAAAGAGGAACTTTAAACCTAATTTTCTCTTAATCTAATAATGCTTTATTATTTTTAGCAATCTCATATCCACTTTAATATCATGCCCAAAACTTTTTCTCAACAAAATTTTCTCAAATTTAAAACTGAACAAGAAAAAAGAATGTCTGTGCATAAATTATTGAAAGAAAGCTTTTCTATCTGCTCATTTCAACTTAGTGCACACTGTAAATCAATTGTACTTTAACAAAAAGTTATATTTGGAAAGTTGTCACATCTAGTACTCAATTTCTTTGACCTGTTTCACAAATACCAGATTTCCATACCTAGATCATCTTCAAAACAAAGTTATTTCACTTGAAGTTCTGTAGTTCATTCAAACCCAGTCTGAATGCAGCAGACTCCATTACCTTGCCTCTCTAACTTTGCACAAAGTTTGAGGATACAAAGATACTTTTCATTTGCCCCCCTACAACTTTTTTTTTTTTTTTTTAAATTTTAAGCTTGCATTCCAAAGAGAGTGTCCCCAGACATTCAATAACTGCAAGGGAAAGAGGAGAAAATGGAATGCTAATAGGTTTATAATGCAGTGGCAAGGCAAAGAAAGCTCCTATAGCACACTACTTGAGTTATATCAGAGCTTCATTGCATGAGATATCAAGGAGAGTGACAGCATTTGCTCTGACAACAACAGAAATTTGGTACATTTAATATTCATCTCCTATTATAATATAACTAGGTAAAAGGTATTTTTAAAACTATTACCTCCTACTATGTTTGCACAGCTCATTCTTTGCATTACACAAATTTTATTCATATTTGGGCCTATCTCCAGACCAGTCAAGTGATCAGAATACTTTCAATGCTACCCTGCTGAAGTATTAATCAGTTTACCACAGTATCAATTTTATAGCATCACTCAAACTCCCAGTATCAACATCCCAAGTAATCAGCAATCAACTTTATCTGAATGTCATATTTATTTTGCTATCCTTCTCATAACTTATGGTTTGACTTTTGCTTTTCTTTAGGTATATTTTCTCTTAAATAGATGTAATACAGAGATATTGAGATTGTAAGTGTGATTAATTAAGAGCTGCAGATCAATGTGCTTCTGTGAGAGATCAGAGATAAATAAACCTAAGTTTAAGCACATGCTTAAATCTCAGAGATATCAGCAGACACTGTTGAAAGCAGTGTTTTTTTGTGTGCTTTATTCCTTCATGACTATTACCTTCTTTTTTCAGTTTTCCAAAGCTCCTCACAATCTCATGAACCACAGCTGCTCCACTCTGAGGATCAATGCCACCAAATACCCATGAGTCACGGTGGCCTCCTAGGATGACATATCTATCTAGAAAAATACAGAAGTTTACTTAGAAAAAAACATTTTTTTCCTGCTATAGTGCTGTTAATTACACACAGAATCATAGAATTGTAGTGGCTGGAAGGGAACTTTAGAGATCATAGAGTACAACTCCCCTGCTAAAGCAGGTTCCCTACAGAACAGGTTGCACAGGAAGGCGTCAAGATAGGTCTTGAATATCTCCAGAGCAGGAGACTTCACAACTTTTCTGGGTAGCTTGCTCCAGTGCTCATCACTCTCACAGTAAATTCTACCTTGTGTTTATATGGAGCTTCCTGTGTTTCAGTTTTTGCCAATTGCCCCCTCTGCTATTGCTGCATGCCACCAAAAAGAGCCTGCCCCCACCAACTTCACACTTCAGATATTTATGAACAGTGATGAGATCCAGTCTGAACCTTCTCTTCTCCAGACTAAAGAGGTGCAGGTCTTTCAGCCTTTCCTCATATGGGAGATGTTCAGATGTTCCAGACTCCTGATCATCTTTGTGGCCCTCCATTGGACCTTTTCTAGAAGACCCCTGTCCTTTTTGAACTGAGGAGCCCAGAACTGGACACAGCATGATTGGAACTTATTTCTAGTTTTTCATGCAGGTGGCAGGTAACAAAGCTTACTAGTTTGTATCACACATAATGTAAAGGTAAAAGATGTTTCTAATATCTAGACATTTTTCTGCATTTTCAGCCAGTGCTAAAAAACCTGTCGAACAATTCAAACCCATAAGACATAAGATCTCCTAAATTTCATAACATTACTTCTATTAGAAATTCTGTGGTTTGCCTCTGAAAATAGATGCATCTTCTCACATTTTACAATAGTGTGTGTATTTTTGTACATCATGCTGACTCCCAGCATTGGAAGTATGTACTTCTGTGAGTATGTATATAGTCAATCATAAAAAGGTGTTCAATGTGATGGAAATGGGATAAATATGATCAAAGTCAGACTAGATAGCTGTGATACTGTAACATGGTCAGCAATTGTGTTTCAAAGAACGGGGAAGGGCTGCAGTTACATATCAAATGAATGCATCATTCTAGGGATGCCTCTATACTTTTTTATAGTGTAAATATAACATTGGTTGCAGAAAACTGTAAGACAGGCGATCAGGCAACAGTGGTGGAAAAATGTATTCAGGTGGAATGGAAAACCTGTTTTTGAACCATTTTCATTTGGTTTTGAACTCTTTCAACTGGCAATATCGTTTCCTCGTTAACAGGGAAAAATATCCACCTAAGAGTATTCCTTCAGTTGCAAAACTATCTGTTTGAAGACAAATATTCTGTCTAGTGTATGACTCTCCCTTTGGAACTCAGCACTTACACTGTTAACTGTATGAAATCTGATGCAGTAAATATTTCAACACCAAGTACCACACAAAGCAATATTTCAGAGAAAACTATCTTCCTCATTTCCCCTTTCTAGCTAGTCCACTGAAGACAAATGACTTTACCTGGTTCCACTGTGCCTCTGATGGTACCAATCACATTGTAAATTCTTGTTATTTTGTTGTTGTTATGAATGTGCATTTTTACCTTTCTGGTGCATTGGGAGGAAAATTCAAAGAAAAAATTAACCAGATTACATAATAAAGCATCAACACCTTTAAAAAGCATACAGAGTAAACTGTAATGAATTCAGCAAAGTCTGCGTGTTTGTACTGATGTGGCACCTCAGACATCAGAAAATCAGATGAACTGAGTTGTGTCACAGACTCTGTTTATCCACAACAGAGGTACAACAGCTCATCCTCAAAGATGCCCGCATATTTTTTCTGGAAGAAGAGGTCTGACTAAAAGACAAAAGGTCAAATGGTTCATATGAAGTCAATACAGTAGTTCAGCCAATAGTGAAATGCCTGGAATTAATCCTAAACTGTAATTATTTACTTAAACACAAATCTGAGGCAATGACACTGCACTTCCAGCATTTTTTTCTGGAAATCTTAGAAGTGTAGGTTAATATTGTTTTATACATGGCAAAAGGTAAGATCAAAAGCCAGTCCAACAGGAATTTCAAATATATAGGTTCTGTTCTCAAAAAATAACCTGTCTATTCAAATAGCTTGCCAAAAGCTAGATGACTGTCAAATGAACTTGGTTCGAGATTAGCTTAAAACTAAAGCAGTTCAGTCATATGAGCCCAATTAGATGTGAATCTATTGAAGCTTTGCACAGAGAGCAGCTCTGCCCAGGAAATGGCCAAAATCAAAGGAACAATGCATACAGCCTCAACTACTGTATCTTCAGTCAAATTTTATTGCTCTACTGATTTTTTTCTCCAATCCCAAATATGTTTCCCTTATGAAACAGAACTTACCTTGTAGAATAATTTGTTGTGAAACCAGGACCAACATTGTAAGACACATTCAGATTTCCTTTCCAGCTGCTATGCGGTGCTGCAGATCCTCCCATATTACTATTATGAAAAGAAATACATAGTATCCTCGTTATTAGAATAATCTTGCAGTAGCACTAAACACAAACAAGGAACCAGAAACCACATTTTGCTCAGAACCATGCCAATGCAGACCACAGTGATGGTCACTGTCTTAAACATTTTGTACCATAAGGTTTCAAAGGTGACTAATCTACATTTTTGGCTACATTAATACTAGTATTTTAACAAGAACTGTTCCTTGGCATTGAGGACAGTTCAGAATGGAAAACAGTCTTTGATTCCAAGGGTTTTGCATATAAACTGTTCATTGTAAATGGTCCTTGGAACTTTCTACTGTCTTGAACTGCATTTGCTGTTTTCATTCAAGAGATTGTTATTTGGACCATTCTACCAGCTTAACAGCACAGGCAATTGTCTTTCAGTTCCTGTCTCTGGACACCATTTAATATGGTGGCATAGACATTGCTGAAGTGTTCTTAAGATGCCTAAAACTGAACAAATCTGATATGTCCAAGTCATCATTTCTTGTTCCAAGTTGAATGTTCAAGGACAACGCTGCATCCACCAACTCTACTGCATCATAGTTTTTTCAATATATATGTTTTGTTAACATAAAAATGAATTTTAATACCATCCTCTGCAAAGCTTGGAGCCTGTCTTCAGATCACTTGCATAATTAGTATGCACACTTACTTACATATAGATATCTATTAAATACTTTTTAACACTCCAGAGTTTTTCCAGTATCCTTATGTTAGTTTGCTAGCATCATTTCACATTTACACAACATAATACAAATGAGGAGAGAAAACATATGGCTTCACATAACTACAACAGAATACAGACACTGTCCCATCAAAGGTGTATAGTTAAATATTCATCTGGACACTCTAATTACCTTTTTTTTTTTTTTTTTCACAAAACAAGCATCACAGCAGGCCCACAAATTCTTGCCTTTTCTCTACAGTAACATTATAACTTCAGTGTACCTATGCTAATCATTACTTCACATAATACCTGATGTATTAAAAACAGCCCTTTCCAAAACACTTTGCATGAACCTGTATGTTGCAACATATGTAAATCTCCTACAGATCCCTAATCACAAACAGGATTTCAAAAACTACAGAAGTTGTTGAATGAAAAAATCCTTTCCCTTTCTTTTCAAACACTCTTCTAACTGTCACTGAACAGTCTTTAAAATTCTTCTCCCAAACACTTACCGCAGCAATGACTCAGCATCATGGTAGCCAATGGGATGAACTGGAATTTTTGGGAGACCTACAGCACTGGCTTTGTCTAACCGGTAGGTGTATTCTGAAAGGCAAAGATGAGGATTTCTGTCCTTAGAAGTCTCAGAAGGAATCTGTACATTTCACAGCACAGTCTTAACATAGGACTCAAAGAGAATCATTTCACTTCCCTATAACTTGGGCTGACATTTCCTTGGTGACTTCCCTATTTATGCTCCATCAGCACATTTTCAAAACAACACTAAAAAATATTCCCCCACCGCGTCTCCAGTTACACATTCAGAATTGGCTGGAGATCTTAAAATTATTTCTTAATCTTTTTTTTTTTTTTTGCACTGAAATGATACAGAAATACCTCTCTTCGTGGGAAGCAACTTCAGAAAAAGACACAGCCAAAAAACAAGACTAAAATGTGAGCCGATAGCCTAACATTTGGAACACCAAGCTAGGCATCTGCCAGAGATTCAGATACAGACTTACACACTAGACTAATGAGTATTCTGTTTTGCTGTTTTCACAAAAATAAGTAAATAAATAAATGAGGACTAGATTTTGCTCAGACAAGACACAATTCAAATAATTTTTTTTTTTTTTTTTTCCCCACACAAACCAGTATCTAAATTTTCACAGTGTGGACAAACATAAACATTTGGGAGCCATTTTTCTAGTAGGTTATGGAACAGACTGGAATTTTGACCTTAAACAAGTGACCTTTGTGGAGGGAGGCTTCTTAGTAGCTGTACTGAAAACATACAAATGTCTAGCTCCACAGTAACATTCAGAATCCATTTAGGAAGTGTGTGATGGTCCACTGAACAGACACTTCACCTTTTGCAGGATAGCCTGGTGTCAGAGGATCTCCTGCACCGTTCAGGTTTAATACATTTCCACGCTGGGCCCCTCCACCTGGAAGGTTCCAGCCATTTGGATATGGATCTACTCCTGGAGCACAGTAGTCAGCAGGGTCCGAGTAGAGAATAATTCCCTTTGCACCTGCCAGCTCAGCATTCTTCACCTGCAAGGCACATCTCTGATTTCCATCCAGATCTTTATAGCTTGACATAAGCATTCAAGGGGCAAAAGAAAGTATTATAAATTACAGTGATTATAACTTGGAACCTTTCACACAGCTTTAGCTAAGTAAAGGTCCCACACTTGTTCTGTATCAAAAAGATCATATAGATACACAGATAGTGAAGTAGGAAACTTGCACACCAGTATAAACAGTTGTTAGAAACACGACCTTAAGAGTGAGTGTATCATCCCTTTATGTCAGTGAGGACATTCTGCTTCCAAACTAAATGGCAACTGCCTGTCCCTCTGGTTATAAGTAATTTTGATGTGTATTTCATTTTAATAAATGACTCACATTCTTCTATAATGTTTAAGTCTTTTCCATTCAGATAGTATCTTTAAGAGTGGCAGCCTATAAAAATTCAATGACAATATTATCTGACTGGAGTTAAGAGCCACAAATCACTTTTCACCAGTGAAAACAGCATATACATAAACCAGTGAGATCTTCTGCCAGAAGATTACTCAAGTCTGTATAATAAATTTTGGCATTCCAATGACGATATTCAGTGTTTGACACTCACATCTAACTGAGAAATTCAAAATATAGCACTTCCCAAATTATATTCAGGTGCATTTGAACAAATTGGGAAGAACAAACTACTTCACAGAGTATATTACTGGAGCATGTTAGTTACATTTTGGAACAATTAATAGTAAGCAGATACATTTTCAAATATGTAACATTTTCCAACTCACTTTTATCCTTTAGATGTATTACACATATCGAACATATATTTTATATCTCCTATTACATAATTTTCTTTGAATGCACCTCTATGAAAACCTCAATTCACTACAAGCTTGAGGAGACCTTGGTTAACAGTTTCAGTCTCTTGAAGTCAACTAAAGGATGGCATAAATAACATTTTTACGTAGAGTCATTACCTTATTTCCTCTGAAGATCTTCCCATATCTGGCAATAACAATCTTTCCTGTACAGTTAATTCCCATTTCACGTTCTAGCTTAAAGAAATCCTCGGTGCGGCCGTAATTGACATACACTAACTCACCCTGATAGAAGGAAATAGAATTTGAATGTCGATGAGCATAACAGGAAGAGTATGGGATTTAGCAAGACAATAGGCTGGGAACAATAATCTTCAGGACTGGCTCTTATATGAATTCTTCTCTGATAGAGACAATTAGGTAAGTAAGTGACTTCTCACGAATTTACAATAATATAAAAAGCTGTGTGACCTCAAGCCTCAATAGAGAACATAAGATATGATTCAGAAATTGAGTGTAAACTCTCAGAGCATTTGCCTTTCTTCTCTCCTAGTCTGCTTAAGCTCTAGTCAGTCAGCCTTGGACAGTTGGAGGTATCCCAAACTTATCTTAGGAAGAAACATGTTGCCCTCTTTAGAATAAATGTCTACAGAGAGATTGAAGAACCAGTTTAAGGTAGACACTTGCCATTTCAGACAGCTAAACTTAGGTGACAGATAACTCTTCTCAAAGTGCATTTCTCTGTATGACCACATGCTTCCAGAGAGATATTCAATTTAATTTCAAAAACGAATAAGCTTAAATCTCCTACACAGTCTGTAACCAGACATTCAGGTGGCCTTGCGATACAGTATACAGCATAGACTGAGGTACAGCCCTTTAACAGTAATGGCTTCACCACAGAATCAGAGAATCGCAGAATGGCCTGAGTTGGAAGGGACCTCAAGGATCATGAATCTCCAACCCCCTTGCCACAGGCAGGACCACCAACCTCCCCATTTAATAGTAAACCAGGTGGCCCAGGGCTCCATCCAACCTGGTTTTGAACACCTCCAGGAACAGAACATCCACAGCCTCTCTGGGCAGCCTGTTCCAGCACCTTACCACTCTCATAGTAAAGAACTTCCCCCTGATATCCAAAGGCATGAGGCATTTTTCCAGTCACTTAAAAAGGAATGAAGGAAGGAACAGAATTTTACTGCTATTTATAATGCTAATGTTCCAAACCAACACTACTGTAAGTAAGAACGTGACTTCACATCATCACTGCGTAAGCTTTCTACTAAAGATTTATATGAATAGATGCTTTTGCTCAAAATTTAACTTCTTTCCTCTGTTTATTGGCATCTAGTTGAAATACATCACAAAGAAGAAAAATATATTGTATCTGAGACCAGGGTACACTTGTCATAGTTTTATGATTTTTGTTATTAGTATTCATCTATCATCACATCACGTAAAGCTCGGGGGATTAAAGAGTTAATACTCCAGTTCTTTGGACTGACTTCTGGATACCTGGTCAGAAGAGAAGAACTACATACCCCAGAAGACTTTCCTTCAGAGGGGAAGGAAAGACCCGCAAGTCATGGGACTCTCCCTCTCTCGCTGCCTGGCAGTGCATGGGTGTGCTCCCCAGCCATTCCACCTTCAATTCAAAGTAAGGCCTTTGGTTTCGAATACTCTCTCTCTCATTTGATTTGATTTATTAGCCTCAATTCCAATAATATATTGTATTATATTGTGTTATCTTGCATTCTGATATAATATTTAGTAAATTAACTTTCCTCTTCAGATGGTTGCTGCTGTTCTCTATTTAGGCCCATCTCCCATCTCCCTATCCTTCTCCCTTTCCCCTTCACCTTTCCCACAGCGTGGATCCATGGGTCCCTTGCCCCATTAGTCACAAAACCGGGCTGAAGTGGCCACAAACCATTAACACCCTCCCCTCCCCTTTTTGGGCTGGTGGGCCTGTGGGCCTGCTGTTCTCCTATCACGGACACAGATAGATCTAGAAAATCCCATTAAAATACTACATCTACCAGAAATGAGCAGTAGTTATTTCTAAATCTCTGCAGGGTTTCACTCTAGCAGGTAAGAAGCTACCATCCCACTCTGACAGTATATAATCTTCAAAATACAGTCACTACCACTTATTTTTAAAGAACAGCTGCAGGAAACAGTAATGGTGCTAGCAGCGCCTAACTGTACCTCTACAACTCCCTGATTAGAGCTTTCACCCAGAAATAAGAAAGCTGAGTTCCTGGCCTCTCTCAGTATGAAGAACTTTGATCTATTTCTTCCCACTTCTCAGGAAGGTGTCCTACTCTTGATACTAGAGTTACCCTGGCATGCAGGTTCTTGACAGCCTTCTCCCTTCATTGAACTTCGAGCTTTATGCAGGAACTGTTCCAAAATTCAGAGCAGAATGCCTAAGACCGATGAATGCACCAGGCAGGTTCCAAAACCATATCCACAGCTTAGTTCCGTTTTTAATAAAATGGCTTTTAAGATAAAGAGCATAAAAAGATGTGGGAAAATTCATACGAGCCCAGAACACAGGAGCATTCCCATTGCAGAGCTTTATACATGCTCCCTCCTATGCTATTTGCAATATTGCTGCAACAACTACTTACTGAAGAATGTTGTGGCTAACAGCACCAATATCGGGAGCTATTATCAAACTATTATGCTTTAAGGGAAACATAAGCAATATATTTTGAATAGACAATCTGTCCATTAGGTATTGTTTCTCTCAGAAACAATGTTCTTCTATTTAATTCAAATAAAATCATTTTCTGAAGAAGGAAGCTGCATCTTTTAAAACTTGTTTTTATTGTTATTTCCCATATCCCATCATTTACTGTAGCTCACTAGAAATCAAATAAAACAGTGAAGTTATTCTGTCTTTCTGTGGAAATATTAAAACAGGAAGACAGAATCTATGAATTTTACCCTATATTACCTTCCAAAATTCCCACTGTGATTCTTGAAACACTCATAATTCTCATATCCTAGGAGAGAGGCTATCTGTCTGGCTCTCCAGCTTCCTCTGAGTACGAATAAAGGATATCTTTTGCTTTCTGGCTTGCAGATCTTATTAACAAACTTCAGAAAGTACATGAATTTAATACTGCTAGCAGACTCCAAAGTCAGCTCCAACTTTAGAGGACAGCTTGGATGAGACGACCTCCAGAGGGCCCTCCCCACCTATGTTATTCTGTGTACAGACAGGGAAGGTACAGCAAGCAAAAAAATATTTCCTATTCTTACAAATTATGTATTGAAACAATTAATGACCATAGAATAGAAAACTGCTGTTACACAGACCAGCTTCAGAATAGACAGTTTGTTAGCTGGTGCCATCTGTGCAAAAGAGAAAAGATAAATGCTAGCAATAGTCATTTGCAATAGCCATGGTACACTACACAGCCACACCTGTATTACAGTCTCTGAAAAACAGCACTTTGAAAATGAGGTTGTTTAATTGCCTACTTAAATATAAGTCTTACTTTGATCACCAAGATGGAAAAGAATAGTGAATATTCACACAGTATCTAGAGAAGCTGAAGAAGTGGATAAAACAAAAGATTTATTTTCACATTTCTAGGAAAATGCAAAACAATTCAATTTTAAGTCAAACTAGAGGGAAAAAAAACAAGCAAACATACATGTATGACAGTTCAGTTTCAACACAACTCCATTGTAAAACTCCCAACAACATCAAGGCTGACTCATCTTTCTTACTAGTAGTATCTCAGTGTCTGTACACACACAGCCTAAGACCCAGGAATTTTACATTACTCTATTCCATACTATTCCATTCTACTTTACACTACACTATGCTCCAGTATCCCATCTTCTCTTATTTCTATCTCTGTCTCTTTTACTATTCCACTACTTTACCTCAGGCATTCCCTGAGCTGAAAATGCACTGTAGGGTGGCACCACATCTCCAACTGCCTCATACCCTGCAGGAGGTGGCTCTGATAATGATGTGTTGAATACCTAGTAGGAAAGAACAAACAAAACAGTAAACCAGGAAATATGAAAAAGAAGTACTTTATGCAGGCACATTTCACAGGCATTTATGTTTAAAGGACTCTAGTTTTTTAACTCAAAATAAGATGTGACCAAAACTTTAATAAGCAATTGGATATCACTTTCTGTATGCAAATTCAGTGCGTGATCTTGATAGTTTCACTGTCACAGACTTAGCACAGAAGCCTGTTTATGTGAATCCAGGTTCCTTTAGAAGTGTCAATATAGCAAGTAAGAGAAGGTTAGATCACAATAATAAAAAAATTGTTTGCATTCTGCTCATCCTTGACCCATCAGTGAGCAGTAGAGCTGCTCTGTAATGAACTGATTTGTGTCAATGTATCTTGAGGCATAAACTCTGTAATCTTCAAGGAACTGAATTCAGCACAATCACCAATACTGTAAAATGACTCAATACAAGTCATTTTACTTGGTTGCTAACCATGGTTGATTTCCTCTCCCTAAATAACAAAGCAATTTTAAAACAACTGAACTACATACAATAACTCTAATACATACTTTTCCTTTCATCCATGTGTGTCAGTAAGCTGCATGAAGCAGCTTAGTTATTAGTATTCGTAGCACAAAAATGAAGAAACATATATATAAATTACAAAAAAATTAACAGAGCAAATGAGAACCATTCATTTCCATGAACTTCCCTTCCAGTCTTCCCAGGTGTATAAAAGTGTTTTTTTGCACTGTTTGCAAAAACAGGTGTTTTCAGTACCTCATTTCCATGCTCATCAATTATTGAGATGTAATTCGGTTTATTTTCATCAGGATAAGAGAGCAGGACGTCATAATGAACCAACTGAACAGAATCCAAACCAAACTCCTTCCACTCAGCTTTAACCTGCTGAGCCAGAAGGAGATTCTCCTTTGTTCCTGCAAGGTGAGGACGCTGTGTAAAATTGCTAGAAGAAACAGAAGCAATTGGTTAGGATCGGGCATTGCTGCACATAATCTTAACCTAGCTAGAAACATGTCCTGGATATAACCAGATGTGCTCAGACTGAATCAAGACCAAGATTCTTCAGCATTTATATTTTTGTCTGCCATACACACATAACATGAGGCAAAAGGTTTCACTTGTAAGCGTTTACATCTTGTTAGCAATGCAGCCTAGCAAGAATGGCAGAAAATCAGCCATGGAATCTAGTTCTTGCTTTATTCCTAGTCTTCTAGGCAACCAAGGGCCAGTCATTTCTCTGCATAATACAACTAGCTTTCCTTGAAGGAGTAAAATAACAGCATAATTACTTCTAGGTATTCAGTTTAGAAATGTGCATAATTACTGTGATCCCTACGTTTAATTAGCTAGATAGTCTCCTCAGATCCCACTGTTTTAATTAATTTTAGCACAAATACTGATTTATCTAAAAGTTGACACTGAGTGTGTTTTGTTGGCAAATAAGAGCATGAGTTCATAGCAGCTTACAAACAAGGAACAGAAAAACTCAGCAGCTTGTAACTTAAGAGACATGCACACTGAATACCAAATAGTGTATGATACCAGGAATGGTGAGCAACTCATCAGCTGAAAATGAAAGTTGGCCAGATTATTGAGGAAACCCAGTGGTGAACTGATCTAAAGAAGCCTCCATTGAAGGAGATTATCATCATTATGTCCTGTTATATGACCATGCCATCAGCATGCCACATGAACCAAGTGGTGTTAATGAAGGAAAGGAGACCTCAGATAAGATCCAGGTATAAGGTTGGGGAAAATTTTACTTCTTAAGTTCCACTGAGTGTTACCAAAAAACAGCAAAGTACTTTGAAAGAATTATATACTTCTGATTTTTGTACAGAGCCATGTTCTGATATAACAGCTTCTATGAAGACTGTACTGTACTGTTCCTCATACAGTCAAGGCACCATTTTCTGGATTTGATTACAATTTGAGTTATGCAATAGTATTCCTCTGTGTTATATCCCCATTTAATAGAACTTTGTTTTTCTTTGTTTCCTGTTCTAATCTGTTGACTGCCCGTACTGCTAGTTCTGAGTAGTGATTAAGCACTTGTGTATTCCACCACAGAACTGGCTGCATGTCAGCAGATGTGGTACAATGTTTCCCGTTGGCAAAGAGACAGAGTTTGCAGGGCAGAAAGCTTCTTTTACAGAGTTGTTGAGCAACAGTTGGTGTTCTAGGAGCCAAAACAGGTTGAAGAGTGCAAAAAATCTTAAATTTTCAATGTTTACATAGCCCAGGATACGACTGTTACGCAGTACTTCCCAGCTGACTTATCTGCAATAGTTTGTGGAAGTGCACTTAAAATGAAATATGTGGGATTGACATAATCAATAAGCTAAACGTGTTTGGTTTTTTTTTGTAATTTGATTTTGCAGTAAGATATAACTTCCTGCTATTTAATCAGGCTGGGATTTAAAAACAAATCCAGAACTACTGTCTACTTCTAAAAGCACTGATATTTTAATATTTTCTTTACATAGAAAGTCAATTTCCACCAATAATCTACGACTTCTAGCTTGAATAAACATACTATTTTAACAAATATCACACCTTCCTAGTAGAAAATCTGTTTAAAAGGTCCCTAGAACAAACAATTAATAATGCATCAGCTTCCTAGTAGCTACGGCTTCTAAACTTTAAGAAATCAAGAAATTAACTACAGTAATTCAACTACAATAGATCTTAAAAATCTACAGTGCCATTTTTTTACCACTTGAATTTTCTGGAAGAAAAGTTAGCATCTCTACTTGTAGGAGTAGAAAACTTCCTTCCTTCCCCTTGGGGGAAAAAACATGGTCTTAAAAATGTCTTTACAGCTTTAAAGATAACCATTCTAGTTGTTCACTGTGCAGAGAGGAAGTGCTTGGGAATATCCATCTTCAAGAAAGTGAGAACATGACAGAATGCTGCCAAGTAACACAAATGTGGTCACAAGTTTGGGAGAACAGCAAAAGAGTGAAGAAACATAAGCTCAAATATTGGCACGATTTTTTTCTCTTTTATGTTTAAGCACTCCACTATTTTGCACTGAATCTGTCCTGACCCAAGTTCATTCATAAAGCCTAATTTGAAGTAAACACCCTCCATAAAAACAGTGTAAGATCAACATTGCTGTTGACTAAATAGGCCACATAAGTGAAAGAGTGAACTTCTATGATTGTGCAAGTATTCACCAACTGCTGAGCAAGAATTTGGCCAGCTCTTAATTACTTTTAAGTATTGAGTTTGCTGAGAATGACTCCAAGTGTTTTCAACACAAACAAGAATGAGAGGAGTCAAGATAGACTGTATTCTCTCTCATCTTAGGGAAACACCAGTTGAAACCAATGGCCAAGAACCTACACACTGATCTGTTTAGTGGTATCCTTGGGCTGGTTCCTGATTTTTTTTTTTTTTTTTTTGACAGATAAGCCTACACATTGCTTACAAAAGAAAGTGCTTGATGTTTTCAGCTTTCATCTCAGCCATAAATGCCGCCTTCATCTCCACATGAGGTCTTAACGGTGTCTTCTCTTCTACAGGTTTTGCAAACCAGCCTATACAACACATCAAAATACATTTTTCTTCAATACCATAAGATTTTCACTGTGTATTTTACCATTATTCTTTATCATAGCACAATAAAACAGCCACAACTTGGTACAGAGTGTGGTAAAGGCAGTGATAGTCCTGCACCACGGTATTTGTTAGCTAGGACACTGAGGTGAATACAATGCTATACCAATCACAGTCATTTTACTGCAGATCTTACATCACAGAATCATTAAGGTTGGAAAAGACCACTACGATTACCTAGTCCAACTGTCAGCCCACTCTCACAATCTCCATTATGTCTCTCAGTGCCACATCTCCACAGTTCTCTAACACCTCCAGAGATGGTGACTCCACCACCTCCCTGGGCAGCCCTTGCCACTCATCACCACACTTTCTGAGAAGAAATTCTTCCTAATATCCAACCTGAACCTCTCTTGCCACAACTTAAGGCCATTACGTCTCATCCTCTCATTGTTACTTGAGAGAAGATGCTGACCCCCACTTAGCTGCAACCTTCTTTCAGAAAGTTGAACAGTGTCAAGATCTCCCCTGAGCCTCCTCTCCTCCAAATGAAGAGATGTGGAGGACTCCTATCTTCCCTGAGCACCAGAACGTGATGCTGTCAGTCATTTCAGAAAGACAGCAGCTTTAAAAAGTAGGAAAGAAACAGAGCCCCTTTTTAAGGAACGTATGTCTCTGTCTCTAGTTCTTATTCTGGAAACCTTCCCTTACTAAACAGGCATTATCACAGTGAGTGATGAGAGGAACACCTGGCTAGAAAGTTTCTGATATCTGTTTTTATTTTTAAGCCAGGACATAGAATTATAGAATCTTTAGAGTGGGAAGGGACCTTTAAAGGCCATCTAGTTCAACTCCCATGCACTGAACGGGGACACCTCCAGCTCCATCAGTGCTCAGAGCCCCGTCCTGTCTGACTTTCAGTCTGACTTTATTCACCACTTCTCTGGGCAACCTGCTCCAATGCTTCACTACCCTTACAGTACAAAACCTCTTTCTTGTATCCAATTTCAATCTTTTTCAGTTTGAAACCATTTCCCCTTGTCCTATTACCACAGGCTTTGATAAAGAGTCTTCTTCCACCCCATCCCCGATCCTGAGCCATCTGTGCACGACTCCCCCTCTCCCGCCCTCTCTCTCCCCTCCCCCCCCGACGCGGCCGCCGCTCAGCCCGGCTCCTCTCCAGAAATGGCTGAAGTCCGCACTGTACCAATGAGGAACCCGAGGAGGAAAAGCCCAACCGCTGCCCCCAGGGTGACGGCCCAGAAGCGGCCGCTCGCTGCCCTGGGGCCGACCGGCTCCGTGACGGCGCCCAGCGACGTCCACATGTCCGCCCGCTGCTCCCGGCCCGCTGGCCGAAGCGCCCCGCCATGGGGGCGGGCGGGAGGGCGCGGCCGTCGGTTCCCGCCTCAGCCGGTGCCGCCCGTCGGGGTGTCTCGTACAGGCAGCGGACTTTGATCACACCCGCAGCGCCCAGGGCACTGATTTTTTGCACAGTTGAGGATAGGATGCCATCCACAGGCTTAGACAGTCTCGAGCAGCCGGTCCAAGAGAGCCTCACGGGGTTCAACAAATGCAAGTGCGGGATCTTGCATCTGGGTCACAGCAACCCCCACTGTCAGTACAGGCTGGGGGATGTAAGTGTGGAGCACAGCTCTGCTGAAAAAGGACTGGTGGGTGGCAGCTGGTCACGAGCCAGCAAAGTGCCCTCACAGCCCACAAAGCCAGCTGTATCCTGGGCTGCACCAAAAGAAACGTGGCCAGCAGGGCGAGGGAGGTGATCGTGCTCCTCTGCTCTGTGCTGTGAGACCTCACCTGGAGCACTGCGTCCAGATGTGGAGACCTCAGTACAGCAGAGACATGGAGATGTTGGAGCGCTCCCAGCGGAGGGCCACAGAAATGATTGGATGCATGGAACATCTTCCCCACGAGGACCTGCTGAGAGACTGGAGAGATCTGGTAGCAGCCTAGACGCAGTGGATCCCCCATCCCTGGAGACACTGAATGTCAGGCTGGATGGGGCTTTGAACACCCTGATCAAGCTGTAGGAGTTCATTGCAAGGGAGTTGCACGTGATGGCCTTTAAAGGCCCCTTCCAACTCAAACAACTCTGTGATTCTATAATTTTAATGGTTGAGCTAACAGTCTAGTTAGAGTGCTCTGCCACTCTGTCAAGTAAGTCAATACCAGATGTCTGCCAAATTACCCCCTGTTGTAGATACCATTCTGGAATATTTTACATCTCCTGTGTAGAAAGTAGGGAACATGAATTTGGGAGTGACTACAGTGGAAGTTTGTATCCCTACCCAGCAGTTAGTGTCACGTTTTGTTCCTGGAGTGTCATAATCACAGAGTCATTAATGTTGGAAAAGGCTGGTAAGATCATCTAGTCCAACTATCAACCCATCTACATTATGTGCCCATGTTCACTATTCTGCTGTTACTCAGTGGTGTAAACTGAAGTCAATTCTGTGTTTAAGTGAAGTCAGTGAAGAATGGGTGTTCCTGTGAAGACTAACATGTCCAGGGTACCTTTAGGCCTAGAAATTTGGAATCCTTGATCATTTAATTTCTGCTGGAGGTATTTGGAACTTGAATTAATGAAGCACTGTGGGACTAGGCAATGAACAAAAATATTTTATCTTTAGACTAATATTCCTTGGAGATTTAATCCCTATGAGTTATAGCCACACTTAATCAAGTAAAATTCAAGATGAAAAGTAACAGTGAGGAAACTGTGGTGGGAATGTTGACAAAACATTCGTGCTATTCAGCACTCATAAGCTAATTGGCCTGCCCACACCCCTTAGAATCTATGAATTCAGCTATTTTATATATAGCCTTCAGCGTGCCTCAGCTTGTACAGGACATTATGACCCCAAGGAGCATAGGCAAACTTTGATCAAGAGCAAATTACAGCTGTGATAAATACATAAAGTGCTATGCTTGTTCCTCTGCAGAATTCTGTAAATCACTTTGCAGCCAAAACATTTCACTAAAACAAAAATATTAAAAAAATCAGAAAGTAGCAAGTTTCTACTTTCCCTATGCCTTAGTGCAGAATCTGTTGCTGAAGATACAAAATACAAGCTGGTAATGCTCCTACTAAATTGAGTGAGCATGCTGTGAATTTACTCAGGTTTTGTAAAAGTTTTGTAATGTTTTGGGAGAAAGCGGGGAGGAGATCTCTCAGTGGTAGTTTTTACCATATAATTTCATTCCTGTGAGTCACATAGCTTGTTTGATAGATGATTAAGACAAATTCCAAAATTTTGATTACAGCAGAAGGCTAAGAAGGTGAAACCAGTTATCCCACTTACAACTACCTGGAGGAACACCTAGTCTAGAGTGGAGATTTGGGTTATTCTGTAATGTCTGAGAAAAACTTTTGTAGTTTGTCAAATAAAGGTGAGTTATCTAGAGAAAAAAGATTGCTGGTCTTTGTTACAGTTTTAATCGTTACAGAGAGGATGCTAAGCAGATGCTCAAATACATGGAGTTCTGCTTTGGAAATGAGGACAGGGTTACGTGTCAGAATTAGGAAGGGAGGCCAACTAGGGGGCCTTCATGTTGTCTGACTGCAACTGACAGCTATCTCAAGACAAGAAAGAGGAAGAAACCTTTTGTAAACAACTGAAAGAGGTCTCACCATTGCAGTACCTTCAACATGGGAGCGGGTAAGCAGTGGAACAGGCTTCCCAAAAATGGAGCATATAAATTCCTGCAGTATTTCAAAACACTGCACAGAGCTCCATGCAACATGATCTAACTTTGAAGGTAACACAGCTTTGAGCAGGAATTTGGTCCAGATTGACCTCTTGGGGTTCCTTCTAACATTTTTTTTCCTGTGATTTCAATGGAGACTTACTTGTGGATTAATGTGGTGTCTGCTTTGTAAATATTAAATATCCCTGCTTCTCTGTTACATATTTGCCATACAGATAGTGAAATAAAAAGACTTGCCTAGCTCCCCAGGGTTCTGCAGGATTAAATCATTTATTTTGAAAAAGTGAAGAAATTCATGAGTTCCAAGTCTATTATGCAATGGAACCACTCACTAATTAAATCTGAAGTGTTTCTGATAGAAGTTATTGTTGAATGTTACATGAGAGAACTAAATCTATTGTTGTAAAGTGTCAGTAGAATACAAGGAGGTGAAACGTAGGTTCTTTAACCTAGAAAACTTTTATTACAATTTATTTGACTTTCTTAGTTTCAAACTGTATAAAATACCAGCTTTCCACTTTTTACTCATAGAAGGGATAGAAATAATAAGTAAATTTACAGCTTACATTTTCCTTTCCCCTTCTATATACCCTTTTGGTTAAATTACATTTGTATGGAGATAATCTTTCACAAGTGTCCAGAAACCATACTGCTTTTGATTTTCACAACGCACTACAGGGCTTCTCAAATGTCCCTTCTGCAAGGTGCCACATCTGCCTATGTATTAAAATAAAACTTGTGCTTTTTTAGTATTTTTATCCCTATAGATTTCCGTATAAAGAAGAGTGCTGTGTCTGTGCCTACATAAGGCACTAAGCAATGACAGAAAGGCAAACAGTATTTCTCTGATTTTAATTTTTGGTAGTCAAGTTTTTTTTAACTTTCTTTGTTGAGTTTTGTGCTTTGTCCCTACGCTGTGTGCTTAGAGATTTTTTTTGTATTTGCACTGCTGTGATAACACTCCTTCTGCTGAGATTCTCATGGTTGTTAAAAAAAAGAAGCAGTGACAAGGCTGGGATTTTGCTTTCCTGTGGTAAGTGCTCAATCATTTTTTATTCCTGCTCACATCTGAGTTCCTTTTGTTACTCCTTTCCCTTTTAGGGATTTCCTCTCACAGACAGTAAAACTCTATAAGGGATTCTTCTGCCCCAGTGAAAATGGAAATGAATTGGCTGTGGTAACTACCTTCTCATGTGTGTTCTTTAGCTCCCCTCAGTTCTGAATTATGACATTTATAACTGTCAGAAATAACTATGTTTCCATCTTCTGAGCCTTGCTAATGAAATGCTGGGACACTTTAGCTTTTACAGACTTCACAGGAATGAATATCCATCTATCTTCAGTCCAGTTATTCAAATAGTAAATCATTTTGGGGTAGCACATTGTGAAAGAAGGAAGAAAAAGATACTGTGAACTAGTGCAAAGGCCTCTGAGGATCAGTTCCATGCATATAACGACATGAGGTAATTCTGAATTGTACCAGACTATCCTTGTTCTAGAGTTGCAAGCTATAGAAAGAAAGTTAAGAAAGATAGTGCACAGATTGATCAGCTTGCCATACCAACTGAAGAGCTTTTGCTGCTCTCTCTTGCTCTTGGCTTCACAGGTCAGTTGTCTCCCAGTTGCAGTGCTCAGTGTGCTACTGATTAATTAGGTTTCATCACCATTCAGTTTGCTGCTGAATTAGAATGGTTTGAGTTGGAAGAGACCTTAAAAACTATCTACTTTCAACTCCACTGCTGTGGGCAGGAACAAGACCCAGTACACAAGATTGCCATCCAACCTGGCTGGAGGGATGAGGCATCCACAGCTGCTCTGGACAACCTGTCCAAGTGCCTCACCAACAGCAACAATGAAGAATTTTTTCCTATATCTAATCTTAATCTATTCTCTTTTAATTGAAAACCATTACTCCTTGTGCTATAACTACATATCATGATAAAGAATCTCTCTCCAGCTTTCCTGCAGACCCACTTTAGGTACTGGAAGGCCACAGTAAATTCTCTCTGGAGCTTTTCTTCTCCAGGATAATCAACTCAAGCTCTCTCAGCCTGTCTCCATAGGAGAGGTGCTCCATCCTTTTCATCATCTTCATGCTTCTCCTGTGGACTCACTCCAACAGCTCACTGTCTTGCTGGGGCCTCATCTCATGAGATCAGAGTAGATAGGGAGGATCATCTCCCTTACATGCAAAAGGATTGGCCCATGAAGATGCTGGACAGCAAAATGTTAATTCATCTCTAGCTTCCCTATGTGGATGTTGCCATGAGAACAGAAATGGCTTGTAAATGATGCAGAGTTAACTCTTCCATGCTGAAGTGGAATTTTGCTATTGATTGAGAACGATTTCTTACAGAAATACAATTTCTTCTGTGGATATTTTCAACTTTTTTTTTTTTTTTTTTTTTTTTTTTTTTCTCAGGGCGTTGGTCTATCACGTACAGAAAGCATGGGTTCTTGAAGTTGTTCTTTTGACTTCACTGGCAAAGAACAAGATGCTAATGTGGAATACACAGATAATGGAGCGAATTAATGATGTGCACTTGGAAAATTTCTCTGTTTTTAGGGCATAATTGATATCAAAATATGTGCCTTTCTGTACAGGGAAATCAATAAACTCCAATTTAGCTGTGTTACAACTGCTTCAGG